GAATCGAAATATGGCCTTATTTGCAGCATGAATTCGAAAAATAAGTTTATTTTGAATTTTAATAAACTAAACGTTCACCAAAAAACTTTAGTGAGAAAAATCGAAAAAACGAACTACAAACATATTAACGCCAAACATTCGGTAGAATTTATAGAATATTGTAAATATATATATATATATATATATATATATATATATATATATATATATACATACATACATATACATTGAATATATATTCGTGTAAACATTAAACTAAAATAAACTATACATTTAACGGAAGCTCATGAAACTTAAAAGGAATCATGCGTAAGTATCAGCGTTGGCACATGCATGGATTGGATGGATACATGCACGTAAAAAACATTCACGCATGCATAGATACATGCACACGTACAAACACAGCCATGCATGCATAGATACATGCACACGTACAAACACAGGCATGCATGCATAGATACATGCACCGTACAAACACAGCTATGCATGCATAGATACATGCACCTTACAAACACAGGCACGCCCACCTAGTTACATGCAGATGTACAGAAGAGCACCTGTGTTCCTGGAGAAATTAAAAAGCCTGACTTGCTGAGCGGAGGACAGCCTTCGTTAATATTTCATCAATTCATCAGCGCTTATTTTCATTCAAACTAACAGCAACTGCACACTTCAGCACATTCTCTCAAAGCAAATACCTTTCAACGTTCACATCACATCTCGCCTTTTTCATAATTTTTATTTAAATTTTAGCGATTTTCAAAATAACAATTTTTGAAAATTATTCATGCATTCAGTGTGGCTTATTTTTGCAATTTTAAAAAGTAACGTTTGAAATAAGGTGTTTTTGCCTCTTGTTTTAAGAGTTGTTCCTATTTTGAAACATTAAATTTAACATAAAATAATATTTTGTAGAAAAAATTGTTTTACATTTTAATGCTGGAATTAAAACATTCAGTAAATATGTTGATTGAATGCATGCAGTGCTTACGTACACATCCGTTATTAACGTTATACAAATATTTCATCTGTCAAAAAAAGCAAAGCTCTAATAAGATCCAGATCCTGATACTGCAAATTTCTGAATGAATGTCACACATAGGTATAAAGAAAATTAAATTGAATTAAATTTTAAGAGTAGTAATTCGCTATTGTCACCTGCTTTCCAACCGACCATCATGTGAAAATGATTAATGTTCTAGATATGTTATAATCCTCTAAAATGATAAAGACCATGATGACAATAATAATAACCATGATGGCAATAATGGTGATGTTGATTGTGATCCTGCTACACTAAACAGCAATGCAACCAAACAAATCATCATACCAGAAGCAAGGACAACATCACTCAACATCATTCAACAACACTCAAAATTATTCAACATCACTCAGCAACATTTAACAGCTTTCAACATCATGGATAGAACTAATAACGCATCAATTAAGTAACATAGATTAACATACACAAAACAACAAAACAAGTATTCCAACACAACAACATTCCAACACAACAACATAGTAACACAACAACGTTCCAACACAACAGCATAGTAACACAACAACCTAGACAGCACACGACAACAACAACATATGCATTATAACAACACAAAACATAAACAACACAACCACAACGCAACAATATACACACACAACAACAACACGCCGTAAGAAGATACAACAACATGCAAGCATATTAAGACAGCATCTTAAACACAGCCGCTATTAATTCTACTTGCATATTTTTATACATTTGCACCGACCAACCTAATCCCCATCCCACTGTGTGGCAAAATAAATTAAAAAATTTTTTTTATCAGACTTAAAAAAAGCACAATAGCACAAAGAAATATATATTAACCTTGAATGCATGTAGAATAAATAAACAATTGTATCGATGAATGCATTCATTAAAATATAATAACAATATTTGAATATATTAAAAGTATTGATAGTGTTTAACTTAATTTGTGGTGAAATATGTGGTCAGCAGAGTTGAAGTGAATACAATATACAGTGTGATAGTGCATGTTGTGTGATTAGATGTGAACCATACTTCAACAAACTAGACGTCCAGACGTCCCAGGCATACATACATCTTTCGACTAGTTAGGGAGTTAGGAGCAGCGTCAAATGGATCTAATGGATAAAGGTGGAATACCGTCTTTTCATCACAATCAAGTTATTTCAATTTCAAAATATTTGGAGCGCAAATAAATATTTTCAGCTTCAACAATGTTACACACACACACACACACACCACACACACACACAATTCGTGCATTTGAATGTTGACACTTGTTTAAAACTAAGGTGTATTTTTTTAAGATTACGATTCCGCACAACCATTGGCAACCAAAGTTAACACTTCATCTTTATGCAAGTGCAAGTGCTTATATTTTGTATGAATAGGCATGTATGAATGCGTGTGTGAGTGTGTGTGTGTGTGTGCGTGTACGCATGTGTGCATGTATGCATTATGTATATATGTATATATGTATGTGGGTTTGTGCATGTATGTATGTGTGTGCATCTACGTGTATGTGTGTGTGCATGTATGTATGTATGTATGTATGTGTATGTGTATGTATGTATGTGTATGTGCGATACGTCAATGTAGAATGACGCTTCGTCAGTTTATCTCGTGTCGTTTATAAATGGTTCCTTCATCCCGGAGATGATGAACTGGGTAATAACGATGGTGACGTAGAGATGATAAATTTGATAAGCGCCATGAAGATGATAGATGGGCTGCTTCATTGTTTGAACATCTACTACTGATGAAATGACTGGCCATATATGATAATGATGGTGATGTGATGATGTTGGTTGATGAAGAAAAAGATGACAATGACAATGATAATGATTATATTTTTGACTGTGAAGATATTGATGCTGATAGTGAAAATGATAATGAGGATGATGAGGAGGAGAAGAAGGATGAAAAAGAAGAAGAAGATGATGAGTGTGATGCCATCTTGCAAGTTTTGGTATTGAAAATGTTGAAAGCGTGGGAAAACAACGCACTCAAGATGGCAAAAATTTTCTGTAATACAAATGGGAGAGCAATTTATTATTCTATCAAAAATCTAACAAAATAAAGTCTAAAGAATTCTGCCGCGTGTTTTAATAGCTTCAATTTTATTTCAATCATAGTTTGGTAGTGCATAGGAATTATTTTATAAATTGTCTGAAAAAAATAAAATATTTTTGTTAAACAAAAGTTTTACATAAACAAATAGATAAATAAACAAAATAAAAACTGTTTATTTTTTATTTATTGATAAAATGTAACATTTGAAATCAACGTATTTCCAAATAATAAATTCACGATTTTGCATTTATAAATTATTGTTGCATCAAAAGCACACATTCGATTTTCTTCAAAATATTTGTTGTGATGCGGTGAAAAAGTGATATGTGTTCCTCAGTGGCAAATCATACAACATACCTAACTTTAAAAATAGCAAAACGACAAATCAAAAATAATCAATTTGTGAGTTGATGTTTGTTGATACTGAAAGATCAATCTAAACAAACAAACATATATACAAACAAACAAACAAACGTACAAACAAACATACAAACATACATACATTCAAACAAACAAACAGACAGACAAACGGACAGACAGACAGACGGACAGTCCCATCAAAGTGTGCACACATTTATGTTTCCAAGTTGTTACTTTTACATGGCAATGGTTGATGATCGCTAATTGCAGAGACCTGTGCATAGAGATGAATGTAAAACATCACACGACGTCCTAACGAGGTACTGGGGGTATCTTTTTTGTTTTATTTCTTTCTATATTAGGTCTATGCTTGGAAGATTTATTTACTTTAAGTTTTTTTTCGTGAGATTTACGGTTATCCATCATTAATTTCCAAACTTTGATGCACAGACGTGCGTAGACTTTTATGGTTCTTTGGCGTCCGTTATGTTATTATATTACGTTATAATAGTACAGCAGCAGCTCAGAGAAACATAACATTATTTTACAGAGTTTAATTTTCCTCAGAGTCATACGCCATTATTTTAATGTATGTCAAATTGTTTGACTGAAGCTTATATTACCTTCACAGAGTAACATCATCAACGCCACGCTAACAATAACAAATATTGTTTTGTTATTATTGTTTTACTATTTTGTAATTATGATTAATCACAGTGACGATGATAAAGATGAATTTACTTAATCGTAACAATGTTTATTCTGCCAACGATCAACACGCATCGTCAACGTAGAATGAGAAGAGAAGTTTTTTCTTTAAAAATTATCTCCTACTCCAATTTTTTGTTGGGATGAGTCAGACTAGGCATTCGCTCTGGAGTAAAAAGTTTGTAAAAAAATGTTGCAATATACTGAAATTGTAATTTCAATTTGTTTCTGTAACCGTAATCTGATAGAAATAGATGAAAATGAATTGATCAGATCGAGTGCGATTGAGTGCATGCATCAGTTGATGCCAGCCTAATCTCATTACCTCCTTAGCTACCAAACCAACAACATTAATAGAACAATTACCCATTAATTAAATGATGTTTTTGCAATGATGGCATTACGTATCACATATTTTTTAAATAACTTTTCAATATATCAATATTTATATTACGTTACGTGTAAAAAAAGCATTTGGGTATAGATTTTCGAGTTCAATGTTTAAATTACTATAAGCAAAATATTTGAACTTGTATCAAACTATGGAGTCTCCGCTACATCGAGAAGATTTTAATTTTATTATTCACTTTCCTGGTTTTTTGCCATTTTGTTCCTCCAATTTACAAGCATTAGTTTTTTGAAATCATATTATAGTTATTCAATTTAATGTGCATTACGGTGACGGAAATTCTCAAGTAGGCCTCACTTGAGAATTCAAATCGTTATAAAACGATGTCGCTGTAAATATGAAATTCAGCGCCACTTTCCAAGAAAGTGCCAATGAAAAACGAAAGTATTATTTTTATTTTCAAATCAGTTACAAAGATAAAAAACCACCATGTTTTGTTTTCAAGAGGTTGAGCGTGTCTGTTGTGTATCGTGTAGAGTGCACGAAACGGAAGCAGGCATGGTATATCTAGATTGGAACGTGTGCAGTAGAGAGTGCAGGTGAACAGTGGCGTCTACAGTACAAATCATCGCGTTCATTCATCGATCCACATCAAAAATGATTGCACTGTTCGGTTAGAATTATTAACATCTACAGCAGGTTTTTAACATCTCTATTCACGTTTACAACTTTAACGAGTATGTTATCTCATTTGTGAAGATTTTTGTATTCTACTGTACTCAGATCTACAAACTCACAGACTTGCATATTTTTATAGAATTTCAAACAAGTTCGCACGGAGACTGTCAAATTTAGAAACATTTATTGCCAAACGAAACATAACTCACACACGTCCTGACACTAACGCATGCCAACATATATTACAAACGTGCGTATGAATTAATGATTAAACTAAACATAGACACGCACACATAGACACACGCACGCACACACATCACACACACACATATAACATCTGGGATATACTAAAAGAAATCTTCGTAAAGTGTATGTTATATTACTAGAACATTGCACGACAAGATAAGTAAGCGTTGGTGGGTTTCTTTTTATATACTATTGCAGCTCTCCAAATAACGACAATCCCGCAGTCTTCATCACTTGGCTGTTTTTTTGCTCGTTGCTTTTAAAATTGCAATGGATATTTTTGTTGATAGAGTTTTGCATAAAATATTTTGCAATTAAACAAATGTTTTAACGTTATATATTAAATATTTTGATGGGCCTTTCTCAAATGATTGTTCATCATCGGCGTTATTTGATTCGTTTTATGTATTTTTCATCCACCGTTAAATTTAATTTTAAATGTCAATTACTTTATAAACAATGTCCACACAAGTTTTGGAATAAAACAGTAATTAATAATTAAGTCAGATTTTTATATTCCATTGTTATATTCCATGTTTATCCGTTAGCATCTGATAGCATAGTAGACATACCTACATGACAAATTAATAATCGCGTGTGTGCGATTGTGTCTATGTTAGTGCTTAACTACTTTTCTTATCATCCGCAATTCATGCAATTGCCTCAAATATCTTTTCCACAACATGCTTTCCATTCCTTCAATTTTCAGTAGTCTAAAAAATAGGGAGGAAGCGCCATGATGATGTTTTGTTGCTTAATTATCATTTGCACACAGCTTCCATGGTTGGCATGTTTGAACTCATTAACGCCGTCATCTTCGGCTACGTCATCCTACCTCTCATTAAAATCGTCAACTTCCAATGTTACTTTAAACGGCAATCCTCGCCATCATCATCTTCATCAACATCTTCCTCATCGTGACCACCCACAACAACATCACCTTCATCATCAACCATCACCACAACATCCTCCTTCTCCTCCTCCTCCTCATCATCAACAACGCCTTCACCATTCCAATGTTTCCTTCGAATGTCCGAAAGAATGTTTTTGCAACGGACTCAGTCGGATAGCTTATTGTCAGCGAAAAAATTTAATTCAAATTCCTTCAGAAAAAATTTCCTCGACAACAATCCAGCTGCATCTGAATGGCAATCGTTTCCAAGTGAGGACCCTGCAACGCTCCAACTTCTCGACTTTCCGACACTTGGAGCACTTGTATCTGGGCGAGTGTGGAATTGTCTCAATTGAAGCTGGTGCGTTCTCCGACCTCACTAATTTGCGCTGGCTGGATCTCAGCTACAACAACATCGAGGTCATTTCCATTTTAACGTTTCATAATTGGTATTATTACCTTATTTATAACAATAAAAACAATCGTAATCAATTTTAACGAATAGTGGCTTAAGCAGTAGAAATTTTTTGTTAGCGCTGAAAATAACTTTTTCTGACATGTCACATTTGCTTTATAACTTCATATTTCGTTGGTAAATTTTTAAAAATTATTTATTTTAGATTTTTTTGAATCTTAGCAAATAGCAATAAAGTTTCGTAATTTTAATTATACTTAAATTATTTTTAAATAAAGTTATGAAAGTTTATAAACACAGAGCTTAGTGAATGAAAAATGATAAATTTTTTACGAACAACATTTTAAACGGTATTTTTTTAAAATTAAGATGAAAGTTGAATTCTTTTAAAACATTGCATTGTTTTATCGGAGACCAAAAATAAAAAAAAACAGAATAAAGAAACGTAACACTTTTATATAATTTCAAAGAAAATATTTAAATTGGAAGAAGACGATGTAAAATTTGGTGTACTTTGAGTTTTGCGGGCTTTCTAATCCCAAGCTTAATAATAATTTTGAAACCAAACAAACTGTGTCTACGGCCGTCAAAACCCCTACCATTCGCTAAATAAGCCCAACAACGACAGCTTGCAATCGATTGTTCCTCATTGCAGGTCATTCCGAAGCGAGCCTTTGACGGCTTGCATTTGCAGCACTTATTTCTCAACGACAACAAGCGACTCCACATCCACGCGACCTCATTCACTGGACTGTCGACGCTGGGTTTGTACCTGCACAACTGCTCCATACAAAACGTACACGCCGATGCGTTTCTTCCGCTTGAAAAGCCTCTCAGATTTTTGTGGCTGAATGGTTGGTCGGGTAATGTTTATAATTTTCTAACTTTATACCTCTAATATTTGATGTTGATAAAAAAATGTTTTCGATAATATAATTTGATTGCATTTGATAAAAAAATTTGATTATATAAAATTTGTTTTTTGCGAAAATTAAACATTAAAACTTGCCTGATCAGACAACAAAATAACATCACTGCCTAATGACTTGGAGCACACGTTTTCGTCCCTGGAGCACATCCGACTAGCGTCAAATCCTCTTCGATGCAATTGCAATCTCATGTGGCTGAAAATGTTTTTTGATCAGAATGTTCATTTGTTCAACGGAGCCACATTCCCCACATGCATGTTTCCGACAGCTCTCAAGCACACAGCTTTTGATAACGTGAGTTAGATTTCGTGTAACATGCATAGGAGTACACCAGTAAATCGTGTATATAAATCTATTTGATTTTTGATTATATCCAAAATGCAGCTTACAAATTTTATTTACATGTTTCTTCAAAATTAAACAATTACATTGAACAATTTAGTTTCAATTGTTCAATAGCAAATAAAGTGAGCATACAATAAACCATTATAAAATTATTATTGTAGGTTTTGTCGTCCAAGTTTATTTGCACGCCTCCAACATTCGGGAACATTGAACTTGTGATGAAAGACGACGTCTCTAAATTTAAATGTGAAGCACGAGGCGATCCCTTGCCAGTTTTATACTGGGTCCAACCATCCGGACAGGTTACAAAGTACACCCATGACGACCAGGTCAGCAGGCACACCCATGATGACCAGTTTTCTAACCAATCAAAATATTCAGAGAGTTTGTCAGCCAATGCGGATATACCTCCAACTGAAATCGGACAAAATTATTCTCTTTATCAAGACACATTTACGAACGAAGGTGTTTTAGAACTCGACTGGGATAAACTCATGACTGTAATGAATTCAGCTGACTTAAAAAAATCCACAAATGTTCTAAAGAATCCCATATCAGGAGTTTACACTTGCTTAGCAGTTAACGTAGCTGGAAATTCCACGCTATCCGTAAACATCCGCGCTGATTATTTCCTACTGCACAATTTCACACATCGTCAACAAGTTTCACAAGAAACGACAAAATTAACTGAAATAAAAAGCAACTATGTTAAAAGCTTCATGTCCAAAAACTTTAAACTTTCAAATTTATATGCGGACAACGAAGATTTTGATAATTTTGATGAAGATTCGTTATATAAAGAATTGAACATTTATCAATATTGGAATACACCCTCGAACAAAACTATTTCAAATAACCAAATAGTAAAAAGTAGCAATGCACATGACGCTCTATTACATTATCCGCTTGATGATAAAGCAATTGAAAACTCGGAATCCATGTACACAACAAAAGATTTGTGCATCGCAATAACTGCAACTCACGTTACAACCTTACTCATTTGTGTTATAATCATATCGAAATTATACAAATGCAAAATAAAACCGGGTAACAGCATGGAGAAACCGATAACTGTTGGCTTTGCAGGTAGCCAACAGACGCAAATTATTACTTCCGACAAAGAAATTATACACAACCCCAAAGCTAAAGACACAAGTGTTGTTGATTTTTTTGGAAATAATTATTCCAGTAAAACTGGCTGCAATTTGAATTACTTTGTTTAATTTACTTTGAACATTTTTCAAGTTTTGACATTCTCCATCATTTTCATTTCCACCATTTCTTAATTTGACAATGGTATTTTGTACATAAAACTACAATTTTACATAAAATTTCTAAGATTTTAACAATAAATATATAGCATTGTTCGAGAGACGGCATGAAAAGAAATTTATACCTACGCAGTAGACAGAAAATTAATTTCAATGAAAAAAAAAACCTGTAGGCGGGCATTTCATTTCCATTTGCATATTGTTAATTTGTGTAATACTCAAGTTGGTTCAATTCCTTTTGTTTATAGTTTCTACGTTTTCGGCATAACAAAATTGAATGAAATGGAAAAGTACCTGAAAAAGGTGTGCTATTCGTAACGACAAATGAACATCTTTCTGAAAGTAAAAATTTAAAAAAAAATACATGGTTTTCAAATTTTACCAAAAATAGAAAATTTTTAAACAATGAAAAAAACGTTCTAATTTAGAAAAGCTATACCTACTATATGTACGTTGTGTTCAATTAAACTGAAACTCAAATAACAATAAAATAACGCTGGACTGCAGCAGAATGACAACAGAGAAATACATAATTACCGAAGATGCATACAAAAAATGCACATCTGAAGAGGACGATAATCGCAGAATGTAGCCAACTTGACAAATTGAAGACAAGATAATTACAATGCTTGTTTTCGCAGACCAGCTCAAAAAATACGTGCCGGACAAATGTGTGCTGAAACGGAATACAAAATCTAAGAAGAGAAAATAAGGGCATAAAAATTTGCGCAGTCGACGAGATTAGTGACAAACAAATAACGAACAAATAACGTTTATAGGCATACGCACAACAGCTTTGAACATAGCGTGCGTTCAACGAAACAGTTTTTAAATAAAAAGAGCCTAACGTACAAATCTGAAAAAAAAACTAAGAAATGAGCTAATAACAGGAAATGTGTTTGCTTGAAAGAATTCGTGCCAATAAAAACTAATCCATACGACTATTTGCGACGAAACGTTGACAATATGCGAGATAAATTCGCCGACAACAAATAATTAAAAACGTTATTGCCTTGACATACTTGCACTACTCTAGCAACGTCACGCATCGTATACTACATTACACACACGCACACACACACACACACACACACACACCACACAACCACACACACACACACACACAAGTATATATATAATGTATACATATAAATAATATATATATATATATATATAATACATACATGCATACATACAAACGTAGCCATATGTGTATAAAAAGGCTCGTGCCTGTTTTTTTACTCGATTGCCGATAAATCAACCTACCCCATGTAACACAACCGCTAACAATATAGCCACCGGATGTTTACAAAGAAATATATTGTGAGTATTCGTTGAATTATACGGCACTTTAATTATTTATTTTCATCTTTAGTATCGCCACATGTTCTTCCGCAAGTGCAAAACAAGTTGGAATCAGACCAAATTTATATAAAACTAACAATTTATGTAATTTAAATTCGATCTAATAACTTTTCAAATGAACGCTTCACTCAGTTGTTTAGTTTAAAATGTTTAAAATTTTGAATGGCGCTATTTTTTTCCAGCTCTCTTTTCAAAAGCTGCATTGCGTTCTTTGATGCGCGAACGCGTATTGACACGACAATCAATGGATATCTAATGGTCCATTAAGTTCCGTTTTAAAGGCTCTCCAAAAAATGAAGAGTTATTTTTGCTTTGGGACTTTGATCAAATTCTGTAGAATATATATATACATATATACATATATGTGTGTGTTTTAATTAAAGGGTGGTAGTTCGAATAATAATTTTTTTAATTTTATTCGAAATAAGTAAATTCTGTTTGTATTGCTTCTATTTTGAAAATTGTCCCTAATATTTTTTTCTTTTTTTAAATTAACAACAAAGTTTTGCATTGAAAATTAATCTTTAAACATACCTACGGCTTGCAAGATTTGTTCAAAAACTTTATAATTCTTCTTTTAATACCAGTGTATTTTCTAAAATTTCAATAACATAAAAAACTTTAAAAATGTTTTTTTTTATATAATTTGAACAATCGATATCCCATGATACAGGATGCTGTGGAATGTACTGGTAAGTATTCACTTGACAAAACACAAACAGGCATGCAACGTAACGAATCAGAAATATTCAATCTACGGCCCTGACAGACTTGGTAGGATTTTAAAATATCGGCATTGCATTTGATTGTTGGCAGCCGTCATTCGTTCCTTGCTTGGTTGGTTGATTTGCCTTCAATCAGTTGAATGTGGTCGTATAAATCTTTTTACAAGCCTACCTCCATAAGACTCTGACGAAATTAGGCATTCAACTCAAAGTGCAAACTTGAAAACTTGTAATGATGGAAAAAATTTAGTGCAGAAAACAGTTCAGAGTGTAGAAGAAGTTGTTAAATGTGGTTATATTATTACGTTGTCACATTTGTTATAACGAAAACATACGCATTTAACTGAAAAATTAATAAAATTCAAAAATGAAAAAGTTTTATTTTTATAATATTAAAGTCAGAAACATTATCGTTTTGACATAAAATTTAATAAAATTTAGTTTTCAAAGCTCTATAAAACATTAATTTGTTTGACTTTTGTGAAGAGGTTTATGAAGATTTGGACAAAAAAAAGCCGAATATATCGTGTACTTTGACTTTGCTAAGGCTTTCGATAAGGTCAGACATAAACGTTTTGCCTTAAAAGTAGAGGCAAATGGAATCACACGAAACATCCTCAAGTGGATTTCTTATTGGTTACAAGATGGACGGCAAAACGTTGGTGGTGGAGAAAGTTCCTCAAACTGGAGCAATGTTACAAGTGGGGTTTTTAAAATATCCGTATTAAGACCGTTGCTATTTTAATAAACATCAAAAAATATAGTCTAAAATTTCAGAATATGCAGATAACTGTAAATTATGTGCTGTTATAGACAACAATAAAGATGATGAAATTCTAGCATGCGTTTTGCAAAAAATATGCAAATGGGCAGAGGATTGGCAGATGGTATTCAACACCGACAAATGTGCAGTCATACATACGTATTCAAACTTTGAGACACACCATTAAAAAATGTAGAAAAGGAAAAGGATCTAGGGTTGATAATCCATCGGAATAGTAAGGTAGCGCGGCAATGCATCGAGGCAGCTAAAAGTGCTTACATGGTAAAAAGAGCGGTAAAAAGCAGAAGTATGATCGTCATATTAAACCTATATAAAGCTTGGTCTTACCTAAGTTGGGGTACTCTGTTCAGCTATGGAATCCAAATTTACAAAAGGACAAACATATGCTTGAGAATATTCAAAAAATGGCACAGTAAAAGCTGAACAGTAAAATAAGGGGACATAAATATAAGACCTTTAAAAAAAGCTCGGGATTGATAAAGCAAAAATTTTTCAGTTGTCAATGAGTGGAACAAACTGGAAGATGAAGAAACAACTAACAACTTTAAAGCAAACTTGGCAAAAATTGGATATTAAAAAAAGTCCCAGAGTGGTCCCGTCGCAATCTTAGTTTTCTTGGATCACTATAAAAATCCTTGTTATGTTATGTTATGTTATGTCATGTTATGTTATATTGTGTTGTGTTATGTCCTGCATAATGAATGACGCGGCACATATATATTACGCTCTATCAATCGCATTCACGCTCGTACAACTCGCACAACAATACTTCTTAAAGCAACTTAATGCAATTTAGCGACTGGGATACGACATAATTGCTAGCACCAAATAAATATCTTTTTGTGTTGTATACGTCTTTATTATAAAACCTAATAAATTTGCTTGTAGAAAAGTTGTTTTAACTTTCGCTAATATAGAGAAAATGAATATAATTGTGAGATGATTATTTTCTGAAGTAATAATACGAAAATGTAGTTGTTGTTGTGCTTTAAAGTCGCACAATGAAATATACTTATGAAAAATAATTCATTGTATTTTATATTTTTATTCAGATGAAAAATTTAATTAAATTCAAAATCGGCGGTGGTGGCCTGGCGATGCATTTAAAGTCGGAAAAGGAAGTATGATTGAAAATTCAATTTTCAAGCGGCAATTCCTTTGTGAGATCAACTTCTTTTGTTCCATGAATAATGCAAAACGAGAAAAGAATTATTTTCTTTATATTTTTGCATTCCTATTCGTATTAGATCACGCACACTCTCTAAGAAAAGGTTGCATATGAGGTCAGCCCAACAAGTTCTGCGCTATTTTTTGTACTATTGTGTTCTTGTCCTTTGGTTCTGCCTGTATCCTACCTTGATAATCATCGCTACTTCTCTGTATTTCTAATTTGCATTACAAATAAACTTTACGATACAATATAAAAACCTTTAAAATATGTATTTTATGCATTAATGTATTTCATGCATTAATGTATTTCATGCATTAATGTATTTTATGCATTAATGTATTTCATGCATTAATGTTGTTTTGTTCCGCGAAGCATGGCACAGGCACTGAAATATCTCGAGAGTTCGTACGGTCTTTCCGGTGAATGCACTTAAGAAGCGCAGCGAATTGCCGAACAAGTGATTTTTTATTTTCTTAAAATTATTACAATTCCAAAATCTAGATTGTTTGAAATTACAGATGATGCATTCAAAAGATTAAAAATAAATAAATTTTGGAAGCGCTAGATCATCGAGAAAGGGAGGCCTTGGTTTTGATTTGACATCTTGTTTGCTACGTTTGGTTGTTTTCGTGAGTTGTTGTTAGCTCGTGTGACGAAGAGGTTTGCATTGAATGATTGAATTCTTTCGTCATCTGCTTCGGAGTTGTTTCCAACTTTCTTTTAAGGAAAACATTACAAGAATGAATGGTGTGAAGTCACAAATCACCATCGTTGCATAACTTATTTTTACATTTTTCGTTCAATTGTTCTTACATAATTGTTCCTTGTAAGAATTTATCAAATACCTTAGCTACAAATTTTATTCATATAAAAAGTCTTCATAATATTGTTCGTCGGAACATTATTA